GGGGGGGGGGGCTTGGAGGTTCAGCTTGCCCTTCCCTCTCCCTGCTCTCACTAGCTGAGCACCCTGGCCTGTCACAGCCCTCCAGACTACCTGCGGACAGGTGAGCACCCAGCCAAATAACCCTTGGGCAGCCCTTCCCAGAGCCACTTTGACTGCAGAGAGTGGGGACCCAGCTAGGCTGTTGGCGGAGGGAGCCGCAGACTGGGGAGCGGAGTTGGCTTCAGAGGACTGACCTCCCCTTAGCCTGCCTCCCTGAGACCTACAGGGTCCTGTTTGACTACCAGCCCGAGGCCCCAGATGAGCTGGCACTGCGGAGGGGAGACGAGGTGAAAGTCCTGAGGAAGGTATGAGAAGCAGGGGCGGGGAGGGTGCGGGGAAGGGCCTGTTGAGAAGGGGCGGGGGCCGGGAGCAAGGAGCTTGGGGACCTGGCTCACCTCCCCACAGCATCTTTCTCTCCCAGATTACAGAGGATGAGGGCTGGTGGGAAGGAGAGTCTCAAGGTAGAAGAGGAGTGTTCCCAGACAACTTTGTGCTCCCACCACCTCCAGTGAGTATGGAGCCAGACACCGGGGGGCTGGCGGGTGGGGGGCAGAGGGGGAACAGACAGGCTACTCTGGACAAAGTTGGAGATCATGGTGCTCTCTGGACACAGGTGGAGAGTCACCCCTAAAGGAGGGTGGACCTGGAAATGTGGGGGCTTCTCTTCAGATTCTGATACTTCTTTTCTGCACAGATGAAGAAGCTGGTCCCACGAAAATTATCGCCTCGAGAATCAGGTGGGTACCCTGGAAACCTGGGATTGCCAGTGGGGGTTGCCTGAGAGACCCATCAGCCCAGTTGCCCATAAACTCCCACAGGTCCCCAGTGGTCCAGCACACCCACTTAGGAGCTATGTCCTGGTGGGTTATGGTTCTGATAGGAATGTAGCTGGGTCAGTGTTTGTATATATGTCAATATGTTCATGTTTCTCGGTGTGTCTTGGGATTGCAGCTATCAGTATGTTTAGATTTGTTTCATTTTGTAAGAAAATTGATATCTGGGTCTCGAGACTTTATGTATGTGCATGTGCCTTATAAGTGTTTATATGAGTAGCTGTGTATATGTGTCTGTGGGGATGTGTGTCTTTTTATTTATCTTTTAATGTACTATTTCACACATGCCAAAAATATATGTAACATGTGTGTTTTAAAACTTCACGGAAATCCATGGTCTGTCAGTGAAACCCAAGACCTAGAACATCGCCATTAGTCTGTGCTCCTGCTCTTCCCAGTTCTGCTTCCCTCACACTGAAAGTAACCGCGGTCCTGAATTTTGTGTTTGTAGTTCTCATGAGTTTTTAAGTTGATTTACATGTGTATGTGCCTAAACAAGATATCAATTAATTTATTTTTGCTTCTTTTTGAGCTTTATAAAAATGGTATCATATGTTTATAGTCTCTGGAACTTGCTGTTTCCAATCAACATTATGTTTCTAAGATTGATCTATGTAGTTCATTTCTTTTTCTCTGCTGTATAATATTGCCACAGTTTATGTACCTGGTCTCTTCCTGGTGCTGGACATTTTCACTGTTTCTAGTTTTTACTATTACAGATAGAGCTGCTGTGAATATTCATGTGCCTTTCTTCTGGTATATAGGTATAATTGCTTCTCTAGGATATGATTTTGGGAGCAGTACTGCTAAATTATAGGGTATGTGACTGTTCAACTTTTATGAGATAAAGTGAGATTGGTTTCCAAAGTGATTATATTCTTCAGCACTTCACATCTGTGTATAAGAGAGCTTATTGATCCAACTCCTCTTCAACAGTTGGTATTATTAGATTTCATTATTTTTGTGAATCTAGTAGGTACAAAATACCATTTCTTTGTGGACTTAGTTTACATTTTCCTACTTAGTAATAATTTTTAGAGTTCTTTCTATATTCTGACTATCAATCCTTTATGGGTTATACATGTTACAGATATTTTTCTCTCAGTTTGTGGCTTGTCTTCTCTTTTTCTTAATTTTAATGCAAACACATCAATCTTTTATTGAATGGTTAGCAGGTTTTCTTTTTGTTTAAAAAAATCCTTTCTGCCCCAAATTCAGAGAGAGAGTTATTAAAGTGCTGCTTTTTATTTTTAAGTGCTTTCATCTATGTAGCATTGATTTTAAAGGGTTATCCAATTATACCTTTTTCCATATGGACAATCAGTGCCAACATCATTTATTATTTTCTGCATGTGACTTTTATACAACTTTTGTAAGATTTATTCCTAGATACCTCATAATTTTTATTGTCTTTTTAAAAATTAGATATCCTTCTGTTTATTATAGAAACATAGAAATACATTGATATTTCTATATTGATTTTATAGCCAGCCATGGTGGTAACTGTTTATTTCCAACAAATTTATCTATAGATTATTAGTAAGTTTTCTATGAAGACAGTAATGTCATCTGTGAGCAATGATAATAGCTCTATCTTTTCCATCCCTTATACCTTTTATTTACTTATTTATTTATTTATTTTCAGGGGGAGGGAGAGATAGATAGAAACATCAATGATGAGAGAGTCACTGATCGGCTGCCTCTTGCATGCCCCCTGCTGGGGGTCAAGCCTGAAACCTGGGCATGTGCCCTGACCTGGAATCGAACCTCGATGTCCTGGATCATAGGTCCATGATCAACCACTGAGCCACACCAGCCGGGCTTTTCCTTTTAATTTTTTGTTTAATTAGAGAGGCTAGGATCTTAGTACAATACTGAATAGTAGTGATGCTGAACATCACTAACATGTTTCTGATTTTATTTATTAAAAAATATATCTTTATTGATTTCAGAGAGAGGAAGGGAGAGGGGGAGAGAGAGAGAGAAACATCAATGATGAGATTGTCATTGATTGGCTGCAGCCCGCAACCCGGGCATGTGCCCTGACCGCGAATCGAACCCCGATCTCCTGGATCCTAGGTTGATGCTCAACCTCTGAGCCACGCCTGGCTGTGCTGTTTCTGATTTTAAATGGAATGTTCCTGTTGAAATATTTTCCCATTTTTTCTTAATATTTTTGCATTTATTTTTACTGTCCTCATCTCTTTATCAGTATTATACTGGCCCCATAAATGAGTTAGGGAGTATGCATTTTGTTTCTTAATTATCTGATAGATGTTATATAAGATGAGAATCATCTTTCTGGAAAGCTGGTGAAATTCATCTGGCCCTGTGTTTTTTTTCCATCATGGGAAAAAACATTTAAATTTCTTTAATGGTTATGAACAAGTCTAGCTGAAATTCTCTCCTCTTTCTTTTCTTAAAACGATAGAAATGTAATCTCTCACATTTATGGAGGCTAGAAATTTGAATGGAGATGTTGCCATGGCCGTGTTGTCTGTGAAGGCTTAGGGGAAGAACGTTTCCCTGTCTCTCCTCAGCTCCTGGTAGTTGCTAGCAGTCCTTGGCTTGTAGATACATCGCTGCATTCTCTGTCTCTCTGCCTCTGTCTTTACATGGTCTTCTGCCCTGTGTGTGTCCAAGTTTTTCTCTTCTGATGACACCAGTAATTGGTTTAGGGTTCACCCTAATCCATTGTGACCTCATCTTAACTTGATTACATCTGCAAAGACCCCTTTACAGCTGCTCTTCGAATGGCTCCACCTTGGAACTGGGAGGGGAGGAAATCTCACACTTAGGAGACTTGCACAGACCACATTCTGTCCCCTTATCCCTAGTTAACAATGGTTGGCCAAAAATCTGCTTACAATTCTTGAATCCGTTTTAGTGACTTATATTTACTTAGTTACCCATTTAATTGATGTTTTCTAATTATTTGTGTAAAGTTTATAATTTTCTCTTATAATCTTTTTTTTTAAATATGTTTTTATTGATTTCAGAGGAGGGAGGGGGGAGAGAGAGAGAAACATCAATGATGAGAGAATCTCTGACCGGCTGCCTCCTGCACGCCCCCTGCTGGGGAACCGAGCTCACAACCTGGGCACGTGCCCTGAGGGGGGTCAGGCCTTGACTTTCTGGTTCATAGGTGACACTCCGCCCCTGAGCCCGGCCAGCTGGATTCTTGTAATCTTTTAAGTCTCGCCTGTATCTGCAGTTATAGTCTCATTTCTAAGAATGTTTTTTTCCCCTCTGTTTTGTGTTGTTGTTCAGTCTCATCTGAGCTGTTAATATATTCAAGTACTTAAAACATTTTTTTCTAGTGTACCTTTTTATTGTGGTTTAAAAAATATAAGATTTACCATTTTAATCACTTAAAAAATTTTTTTTTATCCTCACCTGAGGATATTTTTTCCATTGCTTTTCAGGAAGAGTGGAAGGGAGAGAGACACACACATCGATGTGAGAGACACATTAATTGGTTGCCTCCTGCATGCGCCCCGACCAGGGCTGGGGATCGAGTCTGCAACCCACACACGTGCCCTTGACTGGAACTGAACCTGAGACCCTTCAGTCCTCAGGCCAGTGCTCTAACCACTGAGCCAAACCGGCCAGGGCTCATGTTTAAGTGTATAGTTGTGTTAACTCTGTGCACATCGTTGTGCCACAAACAGATCTCTAGAAAGTACCTTTGTTTTTACTTTTTTTTGTTTGTTTTTACTCTAGTCTGTCAGTCTTTGCCTTTGGTGATAAATTGGTGAGTTTAGACTATATTAACCATAATTATATTTAACTTTACCATCTAAATTCAAAGTCTTAAGCTTCCTCTGAATAAAATCTCCCAATTATTATTGTTGAATTATTTCTTTCTCCTTTCAGTTGTCACTATTTGCTTTATGTATTTTGAGGCTTTGTTGTTAGACACAAATGTTGTTATACATTTGTTATTGTTATCTCTACCTCTTTATCATTATGACCTCTTCCTCTTTGTCTAGTAATTTTTCTTAAACTTTGCTTTGTGATATTAATATATGGTTACTACTCTGGTTACTATTTGTGTGGTATATCTTTTTCCAACCTTTATCATCAACCTATTAGTGTTTTTGAATCCTTTGTACACAATATGTAGTTGAATCTTCCTTTTTTTATTCAGTCTGACAATCTATGCCTTTTAATTGGGGTGTTTAGACCAGGAATTAGAAAATTATGGTTCATGGACCAAATCTGCCCTGCTACTCTTTTTTATTTTATTATTGATTTTAGAGAGAGAGAGAGAGAGAGACATTGATTGGTTGCTTCCCGCATGTGCCCCGACCAGGGCCAGGATCGAACTTGCAACCCAGGTACCTGTGATAGGGAATCGAACCCGTGACCCTTCAGTGTGCAAGCTGATGCTCTAACCAGTGAGCAACACCAGCCAGGGCGAAAGTTTTAAATTTTGATGAAGTCCCATTTATCTGTTTTTTTTCCTTTGGTTGCTTGTGGGTTTGGTATCATATCTATGAAATCAATGCCAAGTCCAAGGTTATACCCCAAATTGATCTGAGGTCCCTTCAACCATGACAGTGAACCTGCTGATCCTCAACCTGTCCCACATTCAGAAGCTCAATGTGGGCTGGGAAATGGGGGTAGGAGTCAGGTTGGAGGGAGGGGTAGGCAAGAACCCCACCAACCATAAATGCTTCTCAGATTATTTTATGCCTTAGGTCAATTTCCAGCGCACTGAAACAGCTGCTTTGTCATTTCTGTCCAGCTTTATAGTTGTGTGGGGTGCGAATTTGTCCACCAACTCAGCCATAGTCAAGCCCTGCTTCTATTATCCATTCCTTTAAACATTGCTTTCAAATTTTTCACTCCTTGTCTCACTGTACTTCAGTTTACTAATTCTCTCTCTAGCTTTTTGGCTGTGTTTAATCTCCTGTCTAACTTATACATTGCATTTTATTTCAAGAGTGCTATTTTCATCTCTAGTAGTTTAGCTTTCTTTTTTTTCTTTTCACATCTGCCTGTTTATTTCTGATGGCTCCTTTATTTGAAGGCTTACCCTTTATTTCTTCAAATATTTTATACAGAGCTGTGTTGTGTGCTCTACCTGACAATTTCAGTATCTGCTCTGTGTTGTGTCTCCCGACTCTTGCTCTGTAGCCTGTCTTCTCATGTGTTTTATGATCTTTGTGTGCGAGCTCATGACTTGATCTCAATCTGTGGGAGTCCTGCACGCCTTAGTAGAGGAAAACTTCTTCCNGGGAAAACGTCTTCCAGAGAGGACTGACTTCTTTTGGCTACTGACCCCAGGCTCAGTAGCCATAGTAGGGCTGCCTTCTCACCAGCATTCTGGCCCCAGTTGCTCCCTTTCTGTGGCCCTCTGCTACCTCCTTTAAGTTTAACAGTGCCCCAAGATTGTATCCTAAGCAGGGTATAATTGCTATCTAGTGGGAGAGGCCCACAGGGCACCTCATTAGTCGTAAGACAGGAGGCAGAAGTCAAAGTTAACATTTTAACAGGAAACTTGGCTTGGGGTGGTGAACACACTATACAATACACAGATGATATATTACAGAATTGTACACCTGAAATCTATATAGTTGTTTTATTAACTCATTAAAAAAAACCCAAACATTTGGCCCCAGTCATGTGGCTCAGTGGTTGAACGTCAACCTATGAACCAAGTGGTCATGGTTCAATTCTTGGTCAGGGCACACGCCCAGGTTGCAGCCTCAATCCCCAGCAGGGGGTGTGCAGGAGGCAGCCGATCAATGACTCTCTCTCATCATCAATGTTTCTATCTCTCCCTCTCCCTTCCTCTCTCTGAAATCAATAAAAACAAAAATAAAATAAAAATAAACATTTTAACGAACTTCAACTATATGCCAAACACTCTTCTAAGCACCTTACATGGAGTAAGTCCCTCAAACTTCACAACTCTTTAAGATGTGTACTGTTGTTATCCATGTTTTATGGATGAAGACATTGGGCCATAAAGAAGTTAAATTACCTACCCAAATTTTCACACACTGGCGAGTCCTAGAGCAGGAATTCAAAGCCTGGTGTCTGGTTGTAGGATCCATGCTCTTGCCCACTATGACAGGGCATCTGGGGATTTGCGTACGTATCTGTGTGATAATGCACGCGTGAGTAATCTTCGGCATGTGCGCATATGCTAGGGTGGCTGCTCGTGTGTCCATAGATGTGAATGTCACTGTGTGTGACAGCCTTCAGGTGTTCATTCTGGTGTCATCTCAGGGGCCTTTTCTGACCACCCCTTTTAAAATTATACTTATCCTTCCTCAGTAATACTTCATAACTAACACACTACCCGTTTTACTTGTTTTGTTTATGTCTGCTTCCCCGATAGAACATGAGCTCACGTGGGCTGCTGGGGGAAGAACACACCGTGGGCAAAAGGCGACTGCAGCCAAAGCCCAAGTTGGAGGCTACTGCAGTATTGTGGTCTAGGTGACGGTGGTGGTGACTTGACCTGGAGCACTTAGTGGTGGAGTTAGTGACAAGAAGTGGGTTTAGGACATGTTTTAAAGATAGAGCAGACAGGATTTACTGGTGAGTTGGGTGTGTGCAGCATAGGGTCTGAAAGAGGTCAAGGATCACTCATTTTGTCATATGAGCAAGTGGGCAAATGGGTGAGATGGGGACACTGGGAAAGGGGCAGATTCAGGGGGCAAGGAGGTTGGGAAGCAAGAGGTACATTTTGGTTATGTTGAGTGTGTGATGCCAGTTAGCTCTCTAAGTGCAAATAATGGGAGGACAGTTGAATATGAGTGTGGAGTTCAGGGAAGAGGAAGGAGCTGGAAATGGAAACGTTGGAGTCGTTGGCCTGCTGGTGATCATTAAACCCGGGAGACTGGGTGAGATCTCTTAGAGAGTAAATGAGATGGAGAGACAAAGAAGTGTCAGGGAAGGTGGACTGGAAGGTGTTGCCGGGGTCCAGGACAGAGCTGAAGTCTGACCCAGTCATGGCATTGATCAGAGCAGGTCTTAGAAAAGCATGGATTAAAAAACTGGCGGTATTTGGAGCCATCTCTCCCACAGAACCACCTCTGACCACTCTTCGAGGTGCTCCCACAGTTGCCTATGGCCATGCGGCCTGAGGGTGGTCAGCTTCCCCAGAGCTCCCAAGAGGCAGAGTCAAATATGATTCATCTCCTGCCCCTAATCCCTGTGCACAGCACAGGGCAGGGCAGCCGCTCTCAGATGGATAAGTGAGAACAAATGCACTCACCTCTGCCCTCCCAGCTCCCATTAAGGAACCAAAAAAGATGATGGCCAAGACAGCCCTCCCTACAGTCAAGAAGCTGATGACAGCTCATACTGGGCCCAGCAAAGCCAAGTGAGGAGCAGGGTGGGTGGGGGAAGGAGGAGTACAAAGAAAATGCCGCTCTTTGCCCCGCATGCCCTGGGTCTGATGCGGGTGTGTTTCAGGCCATCTCGGACACCCACTGGAGATGGTCAGAAGCGCCCCTCCCGAGACTCTGGTAAGTCAGGCTGCCTCCCTCAGTTGAGTGAGGACTGGGCGACAGGGGGGGAGACTGTGTCCTACTAGACCTGGACCCCTGACATTCTGCTCTCATAGGCTCCAGTGGCAGCCTCCTCAGTGGGGGTCCAAGCCACCCTGGCAGAAAGCGATCCAGAACCCTGGCTTCCCGGCAGCGCCCTGCAGTTGGTCAGGTGGGAGACCTGAAATATGGGAGAGTGGGAGCTGGGGCAGAGTCTGCTTCCCAGGGGTATGGTGTGTGAGGGTGAAGGATCCCAGGCCAAGGGGAGCCCTCAGCTGAGTCCTTACCCCCTCACCGCAGGAGGAAGAGCAGAGAAGCCGAGCAAAGGCCCCCCCTGTGAATAAAACCTCTACTCTAGGCAAGACCCCTCCCCCACAGAAGACCCTGTCTCCACGTAAGGCCCCCACCCCAAAGAAGATCCCCACTCTAGAGGACAAGACCTCCAACCCAGATGGGGTCTTTTCTGTGTCTGAGGGCCCTGCTCTAGGTGTCCCACCTGAAGATGAAGCCCCTCACCCAAAGATGGCCCCTCCTGGGGATGAGGCCTCCACCCTAGAAAAGGCCTTGACCCAGGAACAGATGCTCTCTGAAGAGGCCTCTCTTGGGGACAACACTCAGCTTCATCCCTTACCGGAGGCAGCCCAGTCCAAGGGCAAGTCTTCATTGGTCGGTGAGGCTCATTCCCAAGAGGAGGTCCACATGCCAGAGGAACACCCCCTGGCTGAGACGGATAGTTCCACACTCCCATCTGAGGCTAAGCCAGGGTCCCTGCCTGCCCTTGAGAAGGCCCACCCCCCAGAAGAGCCCACCACCGTCCTGGAGGAGACACCTGTGAAAGATGACACTACCCCCGAAGAGGTAGCCCCTGCTCAAAAGAATCCACATCCTATCAAGCCTGCTCCAGACCATCAAGAGACTCCCACCGTCCATTCACTGGTGCCACAAAATCCCACAGACAGCAAAAGCGACACGGAGGATGTGAAGAGGCTAAAGGAAGAGGTGGAGTCTTTAAGGAGGGCCCTGGAGCTGATGGCGGTGCAGATGGAGTAAGTGGGGGAGGGCAAGGAGGGGGTGGGAAGGAGAAGGGCAGGGGGCGACTTGATGCCAGCCCTGGCCCACCCCTACCCCTCGCTCTCTTGCTGGCAGGAAAAAGCTGGCGGATGTCTGGGAGGAGCTGGAGAGCGAGAAGGAGAAGCGTCGGTTGCTGGAGGTGGGTGCAGTGCGGATCCCCGGCAGGGACGGGGCTAGTGGCCGGCCCGCCCTGACGCCTTCTCCCAACTAGGTTCAGATGAAGCTGAGGACCCAGGAATCTCTGAGCCCAGGCTCCAGCCACACGCAGACGCAGACGCACTGAGGTGGGGCCCGGAGGGGTGTCTGCCTCCAGCCACCCACGTCCTTGCACACAACTTCGGGAAAGCCAAGAGAGTAAACTTTGCGGTGTATGCACACCACGCCTGCCCGGTCCGTGCGGGGGTGGGGCCCTCGCCGCGGGGCGGGGCCAGGGCCAGGCTGGCGCTCTGCATTCCTGGCAGTCTCTCCCTGGCACATCTGGCCAACATGTGGCTCTCATTACTGTTCCCAAGGCTTGCGCACGGCTATTTTTACCCACCGGATGGCGGGGGTTGGGGGGGCGCGTCTACTTCGGGCTCCAGCCGGCAGGAGGGGCCGGGCCCAGGCAGGGTCAGGCTTTGCCTGCGGCCGGAATCCGGAATCCAGAATCCAGCTGTGCGCCAGCGGCCCTGCTTTCGAATCCCCAGACCCCTCCCAGTTGGCCCCACTCTCCGCTCAGAAGGACTCACAGAAACGCACCTCAGCCCAGACTCAAACTCCACAGCTCAGCTCAGGCACACGTGGTTACACTGGGGCACCTTAGCGTCAAGGTCGGGCTTCCCAGGCCTGGGTGTGTGTGTGGGTGTGTGTGTGNTCCTGGCAGTTTCTCCCTGGCACATCTGGCCAACATGTGGCTCTCATTACTGTTCCCAAGGCTTGCGCACGGCTATTTTTACCCACCGGATGGCGGGGGTTGGGGGGGCGCGTCTACTTCGGGCTCCAGCCGGCAGGAGGGGCCGGGCCCAGGCAGGGTCAGGCTTTGCCTGCGGCCGGAATCCGGAATCCAGAATCCAGCTGTGCGCCAGCGGCCCTGCTTTCGAATCCCCAGACCCCTCCCAGTTGGCCCCACTCTCCGCTCAGAAGGACTCACAGAAACGCACCTCAGCCCAGACTCAAACTCCACAGCTCAGCTCAGGCACACGTGGTTACACTGGGGCACCTTAGCGTCAAGGTCGGGCTTCCCAGGCCTGGGTGTGTGTGTGTGTGTGTGTGTGTGAGACTGCAGTGATGCATGACCCTGGGCGTTTGCAGGGATGGGGGGACGTGTGCCAGGCGCATGCCTGTAAGGATTGCATCTGTGAGTGAGGAATTTGAGCGATACTTGTGTGTGAGACTGGTGACGTGGTGGAGTGTTTTTGCCGTCTGAGAAGTGAACGCAAGCAAGTGTGCTAAGGATGGAGTGATGGAGGTGGTCAGCCTGGTCAAGTCAAGGAGTCTAGTGGGGTCTCAGCCCTGGGGCCCTCTGCATGACAGGAGCCTGAGGAATGTTGGGGGCAGGGGTAACAGAGGGAGACTGAGTCACTAAGAACGCAGCTTTCATTGGTCACTTCACCTCTTAACTGTCCCCTGGAGCGGGGGTGGGGACCCTGTGTCCTGCCCTCCCCCCAGGGTTTCAGGCTGGACTGGGGAAGGGCGCCTCCCAAGAGGGCGGGGATTCACACCCAATAGCACCGTGGGAGTGTGGGGGCGGGGCCGGCTTAAGCCCGCAGGGGAAGGTCCCGCGATGGCTATGAGCCCCTGTGCACGTCCGGCGCCCGCAGCGCCCTGCTGTGGGAACGAGGCCCGGTCAGTAATAGTGCATGCGGCCCAGGGTGCCCGTGGCTGCGGGGCTGGGCCCCAGGGTGCCGGTGCCCAGCAGGTCGGGCTGCCCGGTGCGCCAGATCTCCCGCAGGATCCGTTCCCGCTCCTCCAGGCGCTGCGCCCGCTCCAGCTCCTCTGCGGACGTGAAGACGTTAACGCTCATGGGCCCGTCGGGCTCCGCGGACAGCTCCGGGCCAGGCAGTGTGTCGTCGGGGCCCAGCCGCGTCACCGTGTCCTCCTCGTCCTCGTCGTCGTCCTCCGCCTCTAGGGTGCTGTGGGGGTCCCGGCGCTGCGTGGGGGCCCGGGGCCGCGGGCGGGGCGCGCAGGAGATGCTGATGACTAGCAGGCACAGGGTTAGCAGCAGGCCAAAGCAGACACCCAGCACGAAGTAGAGGCCAAAGCTCTCGGGGTTAGCTGGAGGTCAGAGGGCAGAAGTCACGGAGGGGCCCAGGTG